ATCGGCAGTTCGGTTGCGCGACCCATCACAACATTTCATGAATCGTCGCGACTGCTTGTGGGAAGGAGTTTTCGAGCTAGGGAAGTTTGTGCGAGAGGGCTTCTTCTGCGACAGGAGGTTCGTGTGTTCGCTGTTTCGTAGAAGAAAAGAGTTCGCTGGTGAACATAGGAGTTTGACCAGTGGAGTTCGCAAGTTTGTCGTAGGAGGAGTTGCGACAAGCGGACTTCGACAGGGTGTAGGCAAAGCGAGCAGGCAAGACTATTAGGCGAACAGTGGTTTCACGGAGGTACACGAGGTGTTTTGCCAACAGGCGAAGGATTTCACTCGCATGACAACAGTTTAACCGAGGTGTTGACGCGAACAAGAAAAGTACTTCGTGTAAAAATTTTGATTCACGAATCACAACAGAGTTGTAGGAAAATTGCTGCAATTGACAGAGAAAATTTTAGTTTTTTTTTAATTCATTTGCAGTGTGTTTTTGTTTTAACATAAGGCAGGAAAAGTTCGCTACAGAATTAATTTCAAATAATAATGTATGGTGTAAAATTCGAGATATTGAAGTTCAATGGAACTGGGAACTTTGAATTGTGACAAACAAGGGTGAAATATTTGTTGGCACAACAAGGAATTGTGAAAACTTTGCAAGCTATGAAACTTGATAATATGAAAGATGAAGATGGGGAAGAATTGCAACTATGAGTGGCAGGTACCATACATTTATGTCTGGCAGATGAGATTATGTATCATGTTATGAATTTAAAATCTTCAGGAGAAGTATGGAAGAAATTAGAATCTCAGTTTATGTCTAAATCTCTGACGAATAAATTGTATATGAAGCATAGATTGTATGGTTGAAGATGCAGGCAGACGTTGATCTGGTGCAGCAGTTGAATGTTTTCAATCAAATAATCATAGATCTGACACAGCTTGATGTGAGTATTAAATATGAAGATCAAGCAATGATTCTGTTGTGTTCATTGTCTTCCTCCTATGAACTTCTGGTGACTACTCTTACATATGGGAAAGAAACAATCAAAATTGATGAGATTACTACAGCATTGTTGGCTCACAACCAGCGGAAGCAGAATGCAGGGAAAAGATCTCATGGTAATTGTTTATATGCTAAGGCTAATCAATATCGTGGAAGGAAGGAGGAGAAGGAGAGTTCTGAAATGCAAAATTCCAGGTCAAAGCCTAAAGTCAGAAAGACGACTCATTGCTACAAGTGCAAGGAGCTGGGGCATATGAAGAGAGATTGTCCAAGGCTCAAGAAGCAATTTGATGAGAAACATGATACATCCTCCAAGTCTGTGAATATGGTGCAGAGTGACAACTCAGATTGTGGTGATGATGATGTACTTTCAGTTACAAAAACTTAATTGAAGGATGTATGGATTATTGATTCAGGATACTTTTACCACGTAACACCTAAAAGGGAATGGTTTACTTCATACAGGTTATATGATTCTGGTTCAGTTTATTTGGGTGATGATAGATGTTACAATATTGTTGGTATTAAAAAAAATTAGAATTAAGATGTATGATGACACCGTCAGAACATTATGTGATGTAAGACATATTCTATATTTGAAGAAGAATTTAATTTTCTTGGGCATTTTATACATAAAAGGTTTTATTTTTAAGGCAAATGGAGATAGAAAAACCATCAAAATTGTTAAAGGTGTATTGAATGTAATGAAAGAAAGATCACTGCATGCAATATATATAAATTGTTGGGGAGTTCAATTGTAGGTGGAGTTCACTCTGCGGAATCATATGATGAAAATGCAGCAGATATGTTGACCAAGTCAGGTATTATCAACAAGTTCTTGCATTGCTTGAACTTGTTGAATGCTTGCAATTGTTAGACGACATGGTTGTCCAACTCACTTAGGTGTAAGAAACTCCATGATGTATTTCTCCTAAGGGGCTGGATATTCTCCAAGGTGGAGAATTGTTAGGTATATGTATTTCTCCTAAGGGGTTGGATATTCGCCAAGGTGGAGATTTGTTATGTATGGCTCATATAACAGAATTTGGAGTCTCTCAGAGTGAAGAGATGTGTCTGTTGGAGATAAGTGGGTTGGGGGAGCGAGGGCGTGTTAGTAATTTTATCTGTGGGTTTTATCTATATATATGATGTGTAACCCTATGGGTACGTATTGGACTCCTCTGTAAAAGTGAATTTGTCGTTCTGCTCCCGAAGACGTAGGCATCATTGCCAAACCTCATTAAATCTCTGTGTGTTCTTCTGGATTTGTGTCGATTCTTATTTTTCCTCGCCCTAAATTTCTCAACAATTTTTGTAGTGAGACCAACGATAGTGTCGTGCCGTATGACATTCCAGAATCTATATTGATGGGATCTTATTTTGGTATTGTTAATAGATTGGCGAAAAAATGGTATGGAGCCATTCAAAAAGATAATATTATCAGAAGTTGAGATAATTTTAAAATATTTTGTTCAGTAACAATAATATTCAATTCGTTGATGAGTACTTTGCTGTTCATTTATTGAAGCTACTCATCAAATTTGTATCTTCATATGTAGTCCAAATTTAAATTTTCTGGATATATTTAGTAGCGGATTCTCCGATCACTTGATATCAAATGAAAGAATCATAAGACCAATTTGATGGCGCGAAATTGAGACAATAAACCTATTAATAATAAATCCCTTTTGGATTATATGTCATATGATGATTTCAAATAATAACCAAATGGTCACAACCCAAGAATTTTATCTACACCATATGCATGCTTAGGTGAATTAAATTTTAGAGTTTAAGCAAATTTTGTACTTGTGGGCGAGGGCGTCCAAATATTATGAGGAAGTGAAAAAAAAAACAAATTTGTTCTCATACAATGGGTTGAGTGGGTTGTGCAAAAAGATAAAAAGAATTGGAACAAGACAACTATTAATTAAAATCCTGGGATATTACCGGATATTCATTTTTAATATTTAATATTTTATTTATGTTGGTCATACAAGATAGATTATAATTTTGGAGGATATATACATATAACCAAAATATATTAGAATTGATCATGGTCTTCTGAAGATTTAGGATTCAGACGGGTATTAATTTTGCTTAAATATGTATATTTAAAATAAAATTCCATTATATTAAATTTAAAAATTACTTATCATGCAGTTTAGGTGCTTGCTTGTAACCTTCTTTTAGAAGAAGGCTTAACATTGAAGGATAAAGATATAGAGATAAATGAGAGGGTGTTCATGGAAGTCATAGGTTTTGAACACCCAGGTAGAATTCAGACACCATAATATCGCTAGTATAGATGAGATCCGTGGAGGTAATGGTTTTGCTCGTGTTGACAGAATTGAAAAGTTTTTAAGATTTGAGGTTCGATAAATTGCATCAATGTGAAATGAGATGAGGAACTTATGCAACAACTTCAGTCAAACTTTTCACCACTTAGCGGCTCTCATAATGTATGTGAATTTAAGATAATTAAAATTTTTTTTACTCATTACAGTATTAGTATTAGTCAGCAAAACTTGAGAAAATTGTTATATTGAATAAGATATGAAAAATATTTAGCTTCTATGGATGATATGTATTAATTTTTGTAACTGGTTTGATGCAACTTCTTAGTTTTATTGTTGCTAGAGTTATTGGTGTTCTAGTGGGTGCTGAGTATATGTAAGCTTCCATTCCACCACAATGAACATTGATCCTTAACAAAACCTGTCATTTTATTTCAACGACAACAACTCTCACACGACAAGGAAGTGAAAGACACACTCATCTCTTATTCACGCAGCACACGAAAACATGCTCATTTTATTCGTCATTGCCCATGCACTCACCACCTCCCTACACATCATTCATCAACTCCACAAATTTTCTCATTTCCCTCACCTTATTCTGCTCCGCCCCCGAAACCCCCACCGTCCCATTACCCGCGGCGGCGGCGACGACAACGCCAGTCCAGCCAACCTTATTAGTCCCCGTAGCCCAAATGGGCTTACTGTATATGACAACATTGCGATCCTTTTGTAGTACGAGGACATAATTTCCTTTTCCTACGTTAGTGTTGCTCGCCCACAAGGGCTTTTTTTTAGAGTCATAGATGACGAGATTGCCGTCTTGCTGCATGATGACGTAGCAACCCGAGCCCTTGCCTTGGGTGCCTGAAGCCCAAATCGGAGTGCTGTCATCGTAGAGGACAAGGTTGCAGTCGTACTGCATGGTGAAGAAATAGTGGCCTTGTACGAGGGATTCACCGGGGCGGAGGCGCTCGCCGGCGAGCAAGTGGTTGTAGTACTGGGCTGAGGATGGGTTGGCGAGAAGGATTGTGAGGAATGCGGCGCAGAGGATGAGGGTTTTGAACATGGGATAGGAAGCCATGGCTGGTTAGGTGGGGGGTTTGCTTGTGTGGTTTTAGGGGGAGTGGTTGGATCTGTATTTATAGTTGTGGGGAGGTGTATCAGGAAGACTAAGGGAAATAAAAAATATGTACGTGATGGGTGTTGGACTATGAAAGTAATAAATGAAACATATCAAGTAGGACGTTAATACAACAGATCAACTAACCCTCATAAATAAGCATGGAAAAAATTGGGTCATAACAAATAAATTTAAAAATTATTGAGTGTATAGTGAGATGAATATATATAATATATAAAGGATCAAGTAAAATCATATATAAGATAGATTTAATAGCTATCAAATTTATGAAAAAATAATATAAATGAATAATTTTATGGTAATAAAAAATTCAATCAATTTTATTTAATTTTATTATTGATGGAAAGTGCTTCCTCTTTTTAAGAAAATTTTATTATATTATGAGTTCTTAAACTTATACAATTTCAATGATGTGTCTAATAGTGATTAAAATTTGCTCAAAGAAATGCTAACCATTTATTTATTTATTTATCCCTACGAAAATATATCAATTTCAGTAAACACAAAATTGGCATTTCGTATGAAAAATTTCTGCAAGCAGGCTAAAACGGTGCCGGGTTGGGATTAGCCGTAGGAGAGAAGAATAGAGAAACAGAGAAAAAATGGAAAGGAGAAGATTCATGATTCTGACCACTACTATATAAACTATATGTCAGAAAGTTTTTCTCATTATATTGTGCATGTTTTTGTTATATGTATCATTAGTAATTAAATAATTGCACATTATTTTAAATTGTAGAAAACATAAATATATGTGATGCATTAAAATTATGTTAGCATTAATTAAATTACTCAAATTTCAAAGTAGGACAACATGCACTTATAATTTTGAAATTGATGTGCATAATTCAATTGTATGTTAACAAGAAATGATATTTGTACAAAGATGTTCATCAATATAAATAAAAAAAAAATGCTAAAAAATGTCATACTGTGTAAAACAGTCTGCATTAATGTAATTTACGTATTACTAATATAAGTAGGGCAATAAAAGTAAGCCCACGTTGAGGTACAATGGTATTCAAATTAATTTATAACACATAAATAAATGTGTGTGTGTGAGGAGCAATAAAGGCGAGCTTATATATGAAAGCAAAATTATCATTAAATTTATAAGTTGCGTAGAGATCTGGATATACTCCAGTTGGTTGATATGGTATATATATAAATCAAACAGGAGAACGATCGACGAAGCGAAAAATAGAATAAGAAAAATCACAACAGAACACACAGATTTACGTGGTTCGGCAAATTGCTTACGCCCACGGAGTTGCAGAGGATTTTAATACTTGGGGAATTTACATCAGTCGATCACCTTGACTTACAAGAGGAATATCTCACTTCGTTGTTCTCTCTTCTTCTCTCTCTACACCGAGATACAACGAAAAAACTCTACACCGAGATACACCGAAGAAGATAACTTACATGAGAAATAAACTCAATATCTTTTCTGCCACAAGTCACCAAGAATAAGTCTAGGGAGAACAATCTTCTTCCTTCTGCAGCAAGAAACTACTTCTTGCACTTTCCTTCTTTCTATCCCAAGGAAACCCAAAAAACTCTTCCTCTATCCCGAGGAAACCCAAAGAAGAACTCAAAACCGTGACTCGTCCTAAAACCGAAGGAGAGCCGCTGCGATGACTTTTATTGCGAACAGGAAGGGAGGTTGGCGATGTTTCGCGAATATCGCGACCTATCGCGACAATGGAGCGGGAACAGGTGAGCAGGAAGAAGCGAAACTTTGCTTCGCGGCAGACGCTTGCGCCGATTCGCGAAACGAGAAGAGCGGGAGCAGGATTCGCGAAACATAGCGATCGGGAGGCGGGAGCAGGAATCCGAACCGGTCTCCACACTAACAATTTTGATAACTTGTATAGATATGACATTAAATGTGAACTCATAAGAAGTCAAGGATCCATCAAATTAATATGCTTAAAATGACATGCATTGATAGGGTTATAAAGATGAGCTATTTTCAATGCAATATATAAGGTCCTTAATATGTACGTAGCCTCTGGACTGAGCTTTTATCGTCCTTATGATATATGATATAGGTCTGATATAATTCATTGTCTTATAATTATTCCGATGAACATAAATTCATCATGCCATATTCTAAAGTTGTAATATGAGGTTTTCTTATTAAACTGTACATGAAATAATAAAACAAATGAATATTATGAAAATATTATTCCTATATTGACACTTTAAACCTTATCGATCTGTAAATAGCATAATATGATGGAGCCTCGAATATCTCTTTTAAAGTTTGCTTTGATAATATTTTCTCATGTGTAATTTGGTTTCCTATTTTTAGCAAAACCAACTTTATATGAATTACAAATAATGCACTAAACTAGTTCACATTTTATATAGTTTCTCTACTCAATTCATGATTAACAAACATATCATATATTAGTCATTTTTATAAATGTTTTTTTTATTTTATAAATATTTATCTCATTAAGCATATAAAACTCAGTAAATATTACTTTAATTATTATTTTAAGTTAACATAAATTTATGATTACTATAAAGCGAGGTTTAAATTTTAAGTAAATACGTAAATATTTTATGTATAATTTTGATTTTAACATAAGAGGCCTAGTAGTTAGATAACTACGTGATAAAACTTTGACAGTATAATAGTACTTGTCTTAATTTACTTTGTCTTTATGAGTTAGAAATTAGCTGATATGATATGTTTTAGTTATTTCAACAATTGAGTTTATCATTCAATTGCTTCAATTAAGTAGAATTTTAAAATTATTTTTAATTATACATTCAATCAAAACTGTGCCATATATGCCTAACTCTATTGAGCTTTCTGTTCGAGTACGAAGGGACATAGTGGAGCATGATAACTGGTCAATTTGAGTGTAAGCCATCATCATTAGTGCTGATTATAGTTTGATTATCCACTGATATCTTAGACTATCCCCTCTAATTGATTAGACATTGTTCCTCAATGGTTTGAATAGGAGGATTCATCTATCATAAATTCAATTTTACTTGGCGTCGAATCTTTATCTAAGATAAATATCATGTTTATTTTATTTTATTTTTTGATCTAAATGGTATATTTATCAGCATATATTCTAACTAAGAAACTCTATTTTTTTTAGATGAGTCGCCTATATATCAAATTATTAGTAAATATCACTATTTGTTGTGATTGTTGAAAGAGCTTTGAAAATGCTTTTATAGTCTTAAACTCTCTCAGTTTTTTTTCTATTTGTTATTTGAATCCTCCATCAATTCTTGTTCATTTAAGCCCTTGAAAGGATTCTTGGTAGTATGTTTTAGTAAATGGCAATATCATATTGCATAAATCAAATTCTAAAAGAGTTTGCGCAAGCAAAATTATAATGTGAATCAGTAAGTAAGCTTTTGATGAGAAATTAAGAAAATAAATATAAAAATAAATTTACTCTACAAATATTCAAACATAAGTTTTTTTTTTTTTTTTTTTTTTTTTTTTTTTATTTTGGGACTAAAAAAAAAAAAAAAAAAAAAAAAAAATTTAAAAAAAAAATTTTTTTTTTTTTTTTTTTTTTTTTTTACTTTTTGAATTTTGGTACCAAATCAACCAGCATATATCCATGCTTAATCCTTCCTTGAATTAGGATTCAACTATCGAGTTTGATAGTGCAAATGTTACTCCTTCACTATGTTGAACTACTTGTTTTATGATAAGTGCATCACACAAAATAAGTTTAACCATTACAAAAAAAAAAAAAAAAAAAAAAAAAAAAAATAT